CAAATATAATCTGACGACATGTTTTTATTGATATCATATACAGATTGTGTAGGTAACTATAAAGTTTACTCTGCTCTTCTCCCAGTTTATCGGAGACCCACTTTAACGTGTTTCGGGAGGAGAGGATGAATTTGCGTGTTGTAAATCCCACAGCTCGGATTCAGCGCGAACTAACATGGCGGCGCCCACCACCCGGTATAGATCAACTAACACGGTCGATATAAAAAGTGCACAAGCAAATAATTATACAGCTCTCACCAAACCATCAACAGACATGGTCCTCCGAACTGGAGACATGGGTACTTCTTTTGAGGGGGACGGCAGGGGTACCTCTGCTGATCAGCACAAGGAAGTAGATATCAGCATTAATAACCTACAGATGAACATTTTAACTCAAATGGCAGTCAAAACAAACAATATCAGATATTTCATAATATAGTGAGCATGTTCGTGAATATGTTGAATAAAACAGGAAAAACGAAATAAAAGCGTTCCATGTGCCATACAGATCTATTGTGGCTGCGTTGTGTCACATGACAAGCATGACGAGTCGCCATGGAAACAATAAGGCGATACATTCTAAGATAACGGTCGCCTAAAAAAAAACTCACGCTGGGGGTTCAGCTAGTGCGAAAGGGTTAACGTTAAGGTCTGGTCGACCACAAGCAAATAATTATACAGCTCTCACCAAACCATCAACAGACATGGTCCTCCGAACTGGAGACATGGGTACTTCTTTTGAGGGGGACGGCAGGGGTACCTCTGCTGATCAGCACAAGGAAGTAGATATCAGCATTAATAACCTACAGATGAACATTTTAACTCAAATGGCAGTCAAAACAAACATGCTCTCACTTTTTGGAGCTGTTCTGAAGCGCTCTGCTTTATGAAATGATGCAGCTCCTTTCAGCTCACCAGACTTCACCTCATATGTACCAGGTGGAGGAGCACAGCCTAGATATAAATACATATACAAAATCAATAATCAAAGACTATGAATATGAACCTCTCATTAATCAGGAAACAGCTGACATGTCTTCGCATTTCTGCTCAACATCATGAATGTTCATGTCTTTCAATCTTCATTGTGTGACGTACGGTTGTGTATTTGATAGATGTTTTGATAGCTGCAAGAAAACAGCCGTTTAAGAGAAAACTGTATGAAATTATGAAGTTGAGCATGAAATAGGTTTCGACAGTGAGAACTAAGCAGATACCTTCAGTAATATCACTTTAATTATTTGTCTTTTATAACTCAACTGTTTAAAGCGCATTCAAACAGTTGCTCTCAGATTCATTCACATCGCAGAATAGTGAACAAACGAGTGAAACTTACCGACATGCTCGTTAAACCTCTTTAAAGGAGCTCTTGAGAAAGACATGACCGACAAAAGAGGTCAATACCACAAAGACTGTGGAAAAAAAAATATTAAAAGAGCTAAAATGATTAAACTCGAGTGTTTAAAATCTTCAATACGCTCGAGCGTCACACCCTGTGAAAACACCCGCTGAAATTTTGAAATAGTAAGCCCGCCCAAAAGCACCGACGCAACGGCTTTAGCCAATGATATTGAAGAATATGTGACGAGCAGAATTTTAAACCAATCAGAAACGAAATCTTGCTGTACGTCACATCTGGTTTCGCAGCGTTCTCCCAAAATTCAAACTGCAATGCGGTCAGATATAATTGAATACAGCTAAATTACTGTGTTAACAAGTGTTGCCAACTTAGCAATTTTGTTGCTAAATTTAGCAACTTTTCAGATTGCCCTAGCAACTTTTTCTTCCAAAAGCACCTAGAAACAAATTTAGCAATTTTTAAAATTTATTTGGCAACTTTTGATTAGTGACTCAGACAATTAAAAGGCACACATTTTCCATCCAAATTACACAAAAAGAGGAAACCAAAGATGCCTAGCAGTACATACATCACGTGAACTGAGTTAGCTGCTATTTGCAATTGTTCAATTTAATAATAATAATTGAATAATTGTTCATTTATGATACACTTTGTTAGTAGCTTGTACCTTTGATTGTTGATCAGTTAGTACACTGTAAGAAAAATGGAAAAGATAGTAGTAATTTTCCAGGACATTATCCATTATATAATCCTGTAACCCGAAAACACCTGATAGATAATAGATAATAAGCTGACAGATGTTTTTTTTTAATTTGCATTAACAGTAGTAACTATGTGAAATATTCACGCATGAAATTAGTCAATTTACTTCATAATAGGAAAGTGTATTATTTGAACACTGCAGCGAAGTTTAGATTTAAAGTTTTATTTAAAAACACTAAATTACTAACAGTATATCTGCTTGCGACTTCTCATTTATGACTGAATAAAAGCATCTGCATAAATTAACGCTAATCAATTATAATTCTGTCTTCTGATTAACAAAAGCAAAAAAGGCCTCTAACACTAGCTTGCTCTATTCGGTTTTCTTTTTATTATATGATTTTAAAAAAAATAAACCTTGCTACGTGTACTGAATTAAGCTAACTGAGACTTGTTATAGCACTTGCATCATTGCTCTTTTGTTGATTTTGATTGCTTCCATTGTCCTCATTTGTAAGTCGCTTTGGATAAAAGCGTCTGCTAAATGTCGAAATATAAACGTAATCATGTAAAATCACACAAACACACAAGAAAGATTTGTTTACTTTTATTCAAAAAAACTTACTGTCTCCAGACAGATACAAATCAGAAACATTACAGTGGATAACAGAGGACAGGTAACAGTTATGTATGAGTTTATATCTCTCTCTGAACAGGGAAAAGTGATAATATGTTTTAAAAGTTAACAGAAAAAAGCACTAGAAAATTAAGCTTTACGTTTAAATGCATGTATATTTACACAATCTATTCAGCAGTTTAATTAATGTAGTGGTGAGGAACAGAAGACAGTTTAAGCCGAAGGGCATTTACTTTCATAAATTCATCTGTCTGCACACCTTCTTTTAAATAATTACACTCATGCCATTTTAGAAATGCACTGTTCCTTTTCTGATGTGAAAGGAATCCAATGTACCTCACATAAAAGTTTCAACATGGAAGATTTATGTTTGACAACCACATTCTTTTCCTTTTTAAAACAAGGATGTTTTAAGGCCAAGGCATGGAATGATTAAAAAGTATACCCCAGACAAAATGCACACGTCTGCAATATAAGTTAATGTATTAGTCAAGCTTCATAGAACTGCCGAATGCAATGCTGTAACATTAAAGGATCTCATAGGATGTTACTGTTACACTTTGAATATTTCATATCGGGAAAAACAAACTTAGAGCTGAATGAAACAGTTCTGTCCATGATTTGCAACCAAACTAATTTACAATTAGGAAAAAGGTGAAACCTAAAAACCTCTTAAGACGGAGCAAAAAAAAAAAAAAAAAAAAAAACCAAACAAAACTCACACAAAAAAAAAA